GCTTGTATTTACATTCGATATCCAAAGACACTGAGAGGTTAGGTTAGGTTAGATTAAACAAATTTATCGTTTAACTGTTGGCAGCTCTACGAGATAGGCTGCCCTACGAGATGTGCAGCACTGCGCGCGCGTACAAAATAAATTTGAAATCGCTTCTAGCCGAACCATCTTCACGCAATCGACTTTATTTGAATTGCACGGCATCGCATCGAATTATGATGCGGCGCCGATTTGTCCGAACGTAATTCGAGACATCGCGATGCTGTATAAGCGTCGAATGAGCATGAATTGTCACGCAAATATGATAAATCAAATCTACTCACCGTTCACCGGCTGTTCCACAGGCCGCTCCACTCGCTCGCCTCGGGACGTCCCATTCCGATCTTGATGCACACGATATCATCAACGCGAACGCGCGACACTTTATTCGGCACTCCCAATACTCGCTCGCATCCGATAATCATCATCAAGGGCGCGAATAACGCGACGCAATTTCGCTCCATCTTCGCGATGACGCCATCACTGAATATCGTCAAAAATCGCTGTCGCGCGTTTCCATCGACACACTATAAAAGTCGCGCGATCATCCTTGGACACTTCCGACGCTCTTTCACTCGCGATATTCGTTTAAAAACGGTTAAAAGACGCGAAAAATGCGGACGTATGACGATCCGTGTAACTGCGTATGACTCCGAGTCACGTATGACGCCTATGACGTAGCAATGACGCGTATGACGTAGCAGTCACGCGCCAACATGGCGGCCGAACCACTGCGCATTCGTTTCTGCTCATGGCCATTCCTGCGCGCAACGTTCGCACAACTTTGATTTCTGAAATATTGTTTACGGCTTTAATTAATAGCATATAATGATAAATATATAAAGATGGAATCAATTAATCATATTGGTCATATATGTAGACTTGCCTGAAGGAAGAGTAAAAATTGAGAGATATTTTTAATTTTTTTTTTTAATAAAAAATGGAATGTCTATTCATAGGCTTGTTCTTCTTTTTCTCTTTTGTGCAATTTCGATTCAATATATAACGTAGAAAATTCATAGTATATTGCATTTATTTTTATATATTCACAACTATAATATTCGCGCGATCATTTTTTGACATTTACAATACTCGTGTACCTTGTTCTCGATGTTCATTTTTAAAGGAATAAAGAGAATTATATATAAATGTAAATAAATTGTCCGAAGAGAGAAAAAATTGAGGGATATTTTTAGTTTTTTTAGTAAAGGTTGGAAATGTCTATTCATGATAGAAATGCAAAGAAAGAAAATTATTATGTTTAAAATAATAATTTCATATGAAATACAAAATTAAAAGTTACATTATAGAACTTTACTTTCTAAAAGCGTAATAAAACAATCAAATAGTAGACAGAGAAAAGACTAATTGTAAAAGAAAAAAAGTTGTTAACTTAACTAAACCATTTAACTAAATTATTATCTTTTTAACTGGAATATTTAACTATTATAAATCTAACATGACATTTATTTAACTTAAATATTTCAATATTTTAATTTAAAAAATAATAATTTAGTTAAACGGTTTAGTTGAGTTAACAAAAACTTTTTTTTCTCAATGTACGTGTGTGTGTGAGACTTTAAAAATATACTTGGATATAAATACACTTATATTATTAAACGATTACATCTCGTGAGGTTTAATAAATAATTAAACTGTGTACACTGAGAAAAAAAGTTGTTAACTTAACTAAGCCATTTAACTAAATTATTATCTTTTTAATTGGAATATTTAACTATTATAAATCTAACATAACATTTATTTAACTTAAATATTTCGATATTTCAATTAAAAAAAAAATAATTTAGTTAAACGGTTTAATCGAGTTAACAACTTTTTTTCTCAGTGTACGTGAGTGTGTGTGTGTGTGTGTGTGTGTGTGTGTGTGTGTGTGTGTGTGTGTGACTTTAAAAATATACTTGTATATAAATACAATTCTCACATATGTCACAGTACGCGTTAAATATTTCGCAGCGAGCTAACACGTCATTCGACTTTGTGACGTCATTTGGCCTTGTGACGTACGCGCTATTGTTTACATACGCGACGACCTCCCCTCATTCGCACGGCGACATTCCAACGGAGAAAGTAGCGATACGGACCGCTCCGTATTATCGAATTCTTTTCCTAAAGATACGATCGCGATTAGATCGAAATATAATAATTCGACTATTACAAATGACAAATAATTAACTCTTATAATAAATGCAATTATGGCGACGATAAATTCATCGAAACGCGATCTTTCATTATTGCAAATAAAAATTGAAGCGAAAGAGACAAAAATTACAAATTTTCTCGCAATATTCTCCGATTATCGAACTTTACGAATAATAATTATTTCTTTAACATTGCGTAGAATGAAATTTAATTTCGCCCGATGTTTTAAACTTTCCTAAACTGCATGCATATATATCATATTAATTAAACGATTGCTGTATCATCAATTTACATTACTTTAATATTTTAATCTTATGATTCGCGTTATTATGCATATATTATACATCAACAAATAGAAATAATTAATTAGTGTAAGAATCGAATGGTGCATGATTTTGGCTTCGTTTAAAAATCGAGCGAATTATTGTAATTTTTGTGTTCCTCTCTTGCAATAATAATAAAATAATAATAATATTATAAAAATACGTATCTCGTATGATTATTTTGCGATCGGGAGTGCCGTGCAAAGTGTCTCGCGATCGTTTCTGTATATGACTGAAATATAATTAACTGAAATATAATTGTTTGTTCGCGAGTGAATACGTGACTGCCATGAGGAAACAACAAAGGATGAAACAACAAAAGAAAAGGACATCTGGAAAAGTATCGGACAGTCAGAAAGCAGGGAGAGAGCCTGAAGCAGCCGGAGACATGCGGTGAGTAATTTATAAAAATTATTTATTATTTATTATTTATATACACTATTTTTAAAATAGATATATATTGCTTATTATTTTATTATCGTTTTATTTTTCGATCATTTAAATATATAATTCGGATTGAAATGCAGTAAAACAATCGAATCGTAGATCTAAATAATTAATTTAACAAAAAGATCCATAAAAGATATATTAGTTCTTTTAATAAATAATATCGTATACTTAATCTATATAAAAATGAAATATTATCTATTTATTTCTAAATATTAAATACTATAAATTTAATAGTTATATATTTTGTAAAATTTAATTAAAAGAATCTTTAAGATATTTCAAAAGAAACGAAGAACTTTTCTCAACGTAGAAAAAGTTAATTATAAACAAATTTATATTTAATTATTATAATTAATTTGTATTTAATTTTATTGGAATTTTATTATTAATTTTATTGCATTGTCAAACTCTACGCGATCTCTATAATGATAGCTATTCACGAAATAGGTACAGTGAAATAATCAATTATTATCGAAAAGAGGCAATAATATACTTTTAAATCTAACTTAAACTTTTGATAAACGATGTAAAATTTTTTTATTATGATGAGAAAATAAAAATGAAAATAACTTCACGAAGTATATTAATCGTTTAATAAATAATTAATCCGTGTGTACGTGTACGTGTGTGTAAGTGTGACTTTAAAGATGTGTGTTTAATAAATTATTAATCCATGTGTACGTGTACGCCGCCGCGGCGGCGGTGTGTGTGTGTGTGTGTGTGACTTTAAAGATATACTTGTATATAAATACATTTGTATATAACTTTAAAAATATATATTTCCGTTATGTTAATTATCCGATTTTTATTCGATCGTTTTATTGCGCGTTCTGAATCAAATTATATTTAGATCAAATGATATCAGAGAGAATATTTATTTATTATATTAGAATTCTAAATGTGTGTGTGTGTGTGTGTGTGTACACATATATATTAGGATAGAAACGAAATAGAAATAGAAGAATAATCATTGCTCGTAAAGATTGCAACAAAGTAATAATTTATAATTTTGATTCTTATCGTATAATCGAGTATCGTATTTCGAGAGCAATCAACTATTTATTAATAATAAAATTGTATATAACTTACGAATATATTCCACTTATTCCGGACGTTAATATCGCGGCAACGACGAATAAACTTTTCAAAAAAGTTCAATTCAACTATTTCATATATGAGACAGTTCTACCAATCACTGATACAAAAAACTCGTCAATTGACCAGTTGGTGAAACTGTTTCAGTCCTGAGTATTTTCTTAAAAGAGCTGTTGGCGCACATACATGCGTGCATTATGTTTACGCGCGTCCCGCGTTTGAACGAACCTTGACATTCTCGCGGGTAAAGTCACTAGATTAACAAAATACCGCAATTTTGATCTCAATAAGATAAGATGGAGCAAAAATGGCGTCCGATAGTGCAGATAGTGCACACTTTGTGTAGCTATCTATACTAAGTGCAATTTTTCTAATCTTGATCCTGATTTGTCCTGTGTTCTGTTGTGTGTGAGGTGAGAAAACTCCTTCTGTTGCGCAGAAAAAGAAGAAAATCCCATATCAAAAATGCCAGGTTGTTGCGTGGAGATCAAAATTGCGGTACTTTGTTAATCTAGTGACTTTATTGGCAGAAAAGCAGAAGGCCAATCACACTGTTTATATTACCAGTTCTGATTAGAGAAAAACCTGAGGGCGGTATTTTTGAATAAAATATGGATGAAATGCCTCTCAAACTTCTCTTAGATTTTTAGTATTTTTATATTTTATATCCACGTAGATAGTTAGGATAAAAATTTATAATTTATAGTGATGTATATGTTTGTGTATTTTATGTATATTATAGAAGTGTAAGAGGCTGGAAATCAATCCAAACCCGCACGGATTGTCAAATAAATAAAATAAATAAATAATATATTTTATATCATGAAAGAAAATGTAATATCATTTATACAAGTTAAAGGGACACAAAATAATTCAAAACTGTAGAGATATAAGGTACAATTATAATTTATAAATTTACATTTACAAGGCTTATATCATATAATATAATTTTAATATTAAAATAAACTTATACATAATGCTATATTGAATTTCAGCGGATCACAACGTGTCCTAGTGCTGTCAATCACTTAACAGGTTTTAAAACACAATAGATATAATTTTAATAGATTGTGTACAATGTTTTTTAAGATATACAGAAATAAACTATATGCTGGAGCAAGGAGCTTACAGCAAGAAGCTTATCGCGTTATTCTTTTCGATCAACTTAAAAAAATGGCTTTTTATTACTTTGAATTATATTAGATGTCTTAAAAATATCATAGATGGTAAATCTATGTATATAAGTCATAACAATTGCGATAAGTGCCTTGCAATTATAATTACAATATGTGTGTCCCTACATATAATTCACAAAATTGTATTATTTTGTATTTAAAGCTAGCAGATATAACTAAGTTTTGTAAGTAAAGAAATAAATCGAATTATAATAATAATGAACCTATAACAATAAATTACGTAAGTGAATAAATATGTATCAAAATATATGTGTAAATATGAAACAAGTCCATTCGTTTCGTAATAAAAAGAATTTCCTTTCTGTTGAACAAATACAACTTTGGCTCTTTGTGTACGCCAGGTGAAAAAAATGCTGTCAAGTGTATGTATAACATATTGATCAAGATGAAGTTAAGTCAAGCATTGTATTGGTGTCTTCTAATGCTGGCAATGGTAACTCATTTTTCTCTTCCTCTATTCTGGCATCTGACATTTTTAGGAACTTGATTACCTTTTCGGTAGCAGCAATTCCACAACTGCTCACTTCATTCTGCTAAAATAAATGTGCAAAAGTAAATTCAAATTACATTGTATTTTTTCAGATAAATATGGTGTAAAATATTTTCTAGAAGACAATATTACCGATACCGTTATATTCATAAAGTTGAAGAACTTTTGAAGTACAGATACCATAGTTCCAAAATTCTTGTCTGGCAGTCTACTTCGTACCAATGACTCATATTCCTAGAGAGAATAGAAAGAAGTTTTGTTAACAAAAATAAGTATTGAAAATCAATAGTTTATTCTTATATGTATATAAGGCAAATTTCATTAAAATAATTAATTATATTCTATTGTAATTGTAATTACATTTAACTTTTACCTTGTTGTCCATTATTAAGTATCCAAGTAAAAGTACTACATATGCACCAATCAGTGTGTGCTCCATATGTCGTCCAGCTTTTTGTAATACTGCGAAAAATAATAAGTTTATGCTTTTACAATCAAAATTTATAAATGCATATTGTTCTAATAATCGTCGATTTTATATTTATATAAAAATATAAAATATATGTATGTATCTTTTGCATATTTTTCTTTAAGAACAATTTTGAGGGCCTTTGTTAAATATTTATTTTATAGAATTAAGATAAAAATTTATATAATAATTTATATCATTATAGTCATCTATAAGTAAATTTAATTTTACAATATTAAATTACATATTTAAAAAAAATATAAAAATTAAAATAAAGAAATAAATATAGTATTCTTAACATTTTTCTTAATAAATAAATTAATTTTATTTCAAAAAATATATATTATATATTAAATATTCTATATAAAAAATCTGCTAATTTTGATTCGTTCACTTCCCAAAAATGTATAATTAGATATATGATTAATATATAATAGGATGAGTCGAATAGTATGGGTTAATCACTCTGAGATTACTAAACATCATCAGAAAATATTTATGAATGTGACCATTACATTCTTCAGGGTAATGGCTGTGATTAATCAATGACGTTTAATTTAATCTATCTCAGAGCGATTAACTATGATTCCAAAACGTTATAAGATACTTTGAGGAAAATCAACAATACAGTGTATATGCGCATGGAAATAAACATAATACAAACATTTAGTGACGGTTTCTTCGATGAATTCCTCTTGAGATTTAGTAGTAGTTGATACAGTCTCTGTTTGTTCAGAATCTTTCTTCCCATCTAAAATGGCATCAGTTTTCTGTTCTTCGGCACGTGCAAGTTCCTCTTGCTTGTAAAACAAATCGATTAAGGATCCCACGCCGCTTTCTTGCGCTGAAATTACACGGATAAAAAAAGAAATATATAATTATATTTGCGCGATCATTATTACATTGAGAAACTGTATAAATTGAGAATACATACAATCAAAAATATCATCTGATGATAGAGGTGTTTTCGATTCAATAAGTAGTTGCTTATTATCGTCGCATTGTTCTACTAAATTTATTAATAATATTAACGCCAACATCATCATGTCAAATCGTTTTTCTTCCGGAAGTGATTCAGGCACACGTAATAAAAGAAACAAAGTACAATCCAAAACGCCAACTTGTGCGCCAACCGATTTGCTACCGAAAGCTGTATAAACATAATAAATATTATATTAATGCATTTCATATAGATTGTTTTAAATATTAATGAAGGACGAACAGATAAATATATAATTGCTGCATTAAGCTGATTTAAATTTAATTTGCTTGCATTAATAATATGAAAAAAGTATAAAAATATCATACATCCTCTGTTAAATCGATGGGTAAGATTGATGAGAACTTTAATAATTGCAAAGAGGCATTCTCTAACAACAGCACCAATAGAACTTTTATCGCTTGGATCTGTTGTTGGATAAATGGGAATCTCTTGCCCACATAAGTGATATAAACTAGCTAATGTGCTTACTAATACTCCTTCTTCATACTTTAATAAATACACTTGATTCTCTTCATTCATATGTGTTACCTAAAGAAAATATTGCAACATTTAGTTATTCATTGTAAAATATGAAATAAAGAAGGAAAACAAAATAAAAAATATTACTTACATTTTCTAATACACGTAAACATCTGTCAACTTTACGTAATTTATCTAATAAAGGATCTGTCCAGCCAGATCTTAAGAGATTCTGGCTGTTAATATGGCGGTGGCATTCTCGAATTGTCTTTACAATATGTTCCAATCCGCCTAACTCTCGCAATTCTTCTTTAAACCATTCTCCAGCACGCTTTGATGTAAGACTTAGAAGTGTCTCCATAGCAAGCTGACCAACCTGTTAAGAATAGTACAATAGTACATATGACTGTGAAAAGTAAGTAAAGTATGAAAATAAAAATTTATAAAAATAAATATAGAGAAGAAATTGTTCCCTTACAGTAATATTATCTAAATTTAGATGCTTAGCATGTCCTTGAGCTTGTATATCAGCGCATAACTGACGCACTTTTTCTTTATTTTTTAATAATTCGGTATGACTGAGACCACAGTCGTCAAGAGCATCCTTATGGCTGGCATCAGATTCTAATAGACTTAACATTAATTCCAAACAATCGCGATCTAGATCCATAGCTAGACGATCTTGGCTTAAAACGAACATTACTGTTGCTGTGCATAAACCAAGACTCTGTAATAAAATAATAACGTCAATTTATAATTGATATTAAAAATCAAAAGCTTTGTTTATAATGCAATATTATGTACAAATTAGCGATGAGCTATTGATGTTTATTTATTGATATATCATTAGCATATATAAAGCTTTTTAGAAAAAGATTTCGAAAAAAAAAAATGATTACACTTGTTTTCTCATTCTTTTGTCACATATAACATGTGACAAATTTATTAAATTATAAATATTAAAGACATTGTCCTCTTTTTCTTAAACCATATAGAAATACAAAATTATTTATATTATTTTTGTCTTTTTGCTGTATACATTTCACGTTTAGTGTTTTCAAGGCTATTTCCCTCTTTAAAATAATTGATACTTATCCCCAAGATACATAGAAATAGATGAGATTTATTATATAGTGAGCATCGATACCTGATCCTTAGTTGCATCATGAAGAGCTTTAAAAAACTTGGCAACAGTTCCATGAGCACGCACGTGCATGCGAAATGCAGGAGCCATACATTTACTTGCTAATCTTATGGCTGAAAGGCAACGAGTAGCATTTGGATTATTTTCTCTCAAAGTGTCCAAGATATATTCCACATCATCATTAAATTCCTGGAATTCTCCGCTTTCTTGTATCTGATGAGCTTTCTTTACATTCTTTACTACAGTGTAGAACTGTAAGATAGAATTTAAAAATTTATATATCTATTAATTTAAATTAACTGTACAAATAAATTTTTTCTCTTTAAATTTAATTTTATATGTTACGTATAATTTGTCATTTATTTTATATTATGTATAATTAGAGAAAGAGAAAGACAGCAGAATATATAATTAATTTTATATTTGTGATATATACAAGATAAACTGATAGAAAGCTATTAATTATCAATGTAATATCACTATAATTGATATTTTTTTTAGGAAAGAAGTAATATTCCAAAATGTAATGATCATATATTGCATATGCATATAATATACTCACTCCTTTAACTTTTTTACCACAGCGAATACTCGTGATTGCGTCGGCCTCATCCTCGAAATCTGCGTCGGCCGTAGGATAAGTTACAACTCTCGTTAATTGCGAGGAATCGAATTCTTCCTCGTACGCTACAGGTCCCGCGCTGCTCGAGCCGGATGCGGTAGTCGGCGTATTGTTACCGGTGGTAGGCGTATCAGCAGCAGTCGATTCCTTGTCGCTGTCGCACCACTTGTGCTTGTACAACGCTCGTCTCTTATTCCCATCTGTCGCGCCCGTCGAACGACTCTTGAAGATACTACCTTTCTTAGCGGCAGGCTTGATCGATGCAGGAACCGTCGTCGATGGTGGATCGGAGACTTGCGATTCAGAGACCGTACTCGTAACGTGTAATGCTATCTCACTCTCGGCGTTTCCACTAGCACCTTCGCTATCGTCACTGCCCGAGAACCAATCCTGATCTACTAAAGTCTTGGCGGCGGTAGTGGCAGCAACGGTAGTCTCGATAGCTACGATGTCGGTCATTCCAATTCGAGCTGGTGGTTCTGGTTCCGATTCGGGATCAAGATCTACCTCCGGTTCAGGTTGTTGCGCTATCGCAACGGTTTCAGGCCGCACAACAGGTACTACAATTTCATTGGTCAGGATATCTATGGAGCAATGTTGAACTTCGCTCTCAACATTTTCTGACGTTTGTGCTGTTGTATTTTCTGCATTATCATTATCATTGGGAATCACCGATGGTGATGATGGCGGTGATGGTGATGGTGATGGTAGTGGTGGTGGTAATGATGGTGACGGTGGTGACGATGATGGAGGCGGCGGCGGCAATGCCGGTGCTGGTCTCGTATCGGAATCGCTCGAGAGTATATCGATCAACTCCTGGGTCGTGGTTGGTAGCGGCTGATCGCGCCCAATTAACGGTTCAATCACCGGTTTGGAGGAATATGTTGAGCTGCAGTCAGTCTTAATGATATCATAATGAGATATGAGGGTGTTATTGGAATCCGTCACGGATTTTCTCAACGTCAAAGACAGACCGGAACCGTGGGAATTGGGAGTTATCGGTGTCGTTGACGGCGTCACGGCAGAACTCGTCGCCGTTAGATCCAAGTGCAGATTCTTCGCGCGACTACGAGTGGTCCTCCTCATGTCCGAGTTCTCCAAGGGAATCGATACAGTTGAGACGGTAGGTTGATGCGTACGCAGGGATCTATGATCGGATTTGAGCGGTACTTCCGTATTGAGGGTCTTACGTTCGACGTCCACTTTAGACGGACTAGTGAGGGGGGTGGAAATCCTGTAAGTATCGGGCTCAAGCTCCTGAGTATCTTGATGCACATCTCCGCAAACCAATCGCGCTGTACCTTTACATATTCTTAATACAATAGGAGGTTTGCTCTCCTCTCGATTAGGGGTATCATGAGTACTGGTGCTATCTAAACTTTCTACTACTTTCTTAATTGGAGCATGTGATACTTTCGTTACAGCTTGCTGCTGTTGCTGTTGCTGCTTTTGCGTTGGCTGCTGCTTTTGCGTTGGCTGCTGTTTTTGCATTGGCTGCTGTTTTTGCATTGGCTGCTGCTTTTGCATTGGTTGCTGCGCGGGTTGTTTCGGAGTACGAGCCCTTCCGTATTGCGAATCAGGTACTTGTCTGTAGATTGCCACATCCTGGCGAGATTCCTCCACCACAGGCGGGACATTTCTGCTCTTGAAGAACTTTTTCGGCTTTACAACCGTCGGAGAAGCGTCCGGTTTGTTATCCGGATCGGTTTCAAAAGAAAATGGATCCTTCCCGGAACTTACGCGATTCTGATTTCCATAATCGAGTTTCATTCTCTTCGCGCCGAATGTATTATGTATATCATCTCGTCTTCCTGAAAATAAAATATTTTGCAATACATGTGAATTTTTGCACAAGAACCACTTATCATTTTTACCGTTAAATTTGATAACTGTTAAGTATGTTACAATATTTAAAATATATTTTTAAAGCAAATTTAAAAATTTTTTTCCAAAATAATTAATATTACATTTAGATAAAAATATTTAAAATTATGATAATAACGCTAACAGGATATATAAAATTATATATATATATATATATATATATTTTACTAGCAATAAAATAGAATACATCTATATATAAATATATGTTGCTAGATATAACAATTTTATCACATTTATTATTGTATTTTTCATATTTATCATAGAGTTTTTACAATTTATTAAATTTCTCAAACTCTGCAAAATATAATCATATAGTGTCACATTGAATATCAATATTGAAATATAAAGTAATATTATTAGTGTAAGAAGAATTAATTATTTATTAAAGAGAAAGTTTCTAAAAATATAAATTTATTATTATAATTATTATTTTATGATAAAGATTGATTATGGACAGACGTTATACCTATGTAAGAAAAGTAATTTTATATGCACTAAGTTCTGCCAAATTTATCACATTTATATTATTATTAGAATTACATTCATGTTAGCAGTTTAATACTCTTGTCATGAAAAATTTTTTTCTCCCGCAATAGTATAAACAACTTTAATAATTTTAGATTATAATATATTTATATAATAACTTTAATAATTTAATATAATAACTTTAAATATTTATATAATAACTTTAATAATTTTAGATTCTAATATAAATTTACGATTCTAAATTTTTCTTACATGGAAGATAAAAATCTTGCTATACTTAGAAAAAGCTGAAGTATATTTTGTATGTACGCTAGCAATACATGATATTAGCACAGCGAGAGTTACATCAGCTCCAACGTAAACATACTGTAATAATTGCGTACCATTGATATTCGTGCTCCTGATCGACGTAAAGGATGTTATGCCCCATTTGCCAACAGTGCCCGCCGACTTCGCAGCCGAGGGCCGATTGCTGTTCTCGCGAAAGAGCTTATCGAACTGAATACTGCCGGCCGTTACACCGACCTTACGGCTGTAGGACTTGGTGTAACTGCGGGACGTCATTGTGCGCTTGTCTCGGGAATCCTTTTCGGCATCTCAGGGGTTACGGATGGTGCAAGCTATTCTCATGCTCGGCTCCGGGGTGACGCGGGCATCGGGCGCACCCTGGACGAGGGTGTCGCGGCGAGATCCACCCACGACGGGGTTGTCCCCCCCTCTCCCTGTCGATCAGCGGACCTTCGGAGCGTGGCGGTGATCCTCTCGGCAGGAGCCTCTAGCACGCGGCGACACTCGGTCGTGGTGAAACAACAAACGCCATGTTTCTCTCGCTACTATTCTACTCCGACGCACGGATGGGCCCTCTCCTTCTCGAAGCAACAAATTCGATTAATGATCGGAGTCGATCTCGGTAGGTCGGTCGGTCGGTCGCTCGGTCGGTTGGTCGGTCGGTCGGTCGTCGAGCTGCCCGCTCGCAGTTTTTCGTCCGCACTTACTGCTACTGCTGCTTCGCCGATGTTTTTCCGCGCTTTCTCGCCGTTCCTACTACCATCAATTTCTGAGACTGCAGATTATTAATCATCAACATAGATCTCGAGCCATCTGCCGATGTTTTTCGTTTCGGGATTTAGACACTAATATATACATATATATGTATATATATATATGAATATAAAAAAAAAGAATAGTGTTACACATACATACATGCAATAAGAAGAATTATAATACTTGTCGCCTTCGCCAATAGATAGAGCTAAGCGTGTAAGCCTCGTCACTCTGTAAAAATTATGATGATGACATGTATAAACAACACCGACATAAATAAGGTCGTTGGGAACATCGGGGCAAATATCGATAAAATGTCACGTCAATGAGACAGTTTTCATCGTCCAGTCCTGATTAATTTTTTTTCTGAAAAAAAAAAAGGAGATTTTTACCCCTAACTTATCAGAATCGTATATAATAAACACGTAATCTTTTCCGACGCGAAACGATGAGATTCGATTGGACAAAATTCGTAGAATTTATGGCACGATGACAAGTTGTCGTATGATTAGTTTGTTCGACGCATCGATTGGCTATTGAATAGAGAATTTCTGGGATTCTTTTGCAGCCAATCAGCTTGTCAGGGGAAGCTAAAATTTTATCTAGAGGTATGGCTCACTTATAATTGCATGATTAATGGCCACGAAATAGTCATTTTGTTTTGCGTGAAAGAAATCTATTATTTTCTATATCCACGATTGGGGGGCGACCTGTATTTGTTTCGCGTTGATATCATGTAGTTGTCAAAACGAACTGTCAAAATATGGTCAAATATATAAATATTTAATGTCTATTTCCACGTGAGAATGATTGAATTCGATGACGTTAATGCCAGTTGAAAGAAACAGGCTATGTATATATGTATAAAATAAAATAATTTGCCTTTTACGTCGAATCACGAATGTTCAACGTTTAATTTGGATATTCGACTTGTGCAATTATATTTTTTAACGATATAGTGTATAGTGCAGTAATCTATGAATTTAGGCGTATTCAACAGAGTTAATCTCAAGGTACTTATAATTAAAAATTTATAATATAATTATTATGTATAGTTTTAATTATGGAATTATAGAAAAGAAAGGGAGAGCAATTTCTGTCATGTATTGTTCTTACTCTTAAAAATGTGGAAGCAGAAATTAATATGGATATATATTTTCAGGACTCCCAAGGAGGAATGTATTCAGAATGGGCTTCATTGAGCACTCTGATCCAGCAAGGTTCGGAGGAGAGCCAAAGCGTACTCGAAAAATTTCCGCCTGGCGCAGGGAAAGAAGTCGCATTGTCCATAGTACGCCAACTCGCTGCAAATCTCGGTATCACTCAAGCGGGAGAGCCTAGTCCACTCTCGACCGACAAGGAAGTCCAGTGGTGCATGGAAGTGATATGCTTTGGATTGTCGTTACCGTTGGCTGAGCACGACACTGTTAGAGATTGCGTGAATATATATTGTGAATGGCTGTCTGCGTTATACTCCACACCAAAAATTTCTGTACCCAGACCAATCATAGATGATTCAAACTTTTATGCCAGGAAAATCATAAGCCATTTTCACAATTTATTTGTACCAAGAAAAGGAGAAGGTAGGGCTAGACTTATTTTTATTTGTCATTACTTGTCAATCTATTGTTTGTAATCTTTTTGATAATATTTATTTTCTTTCTCAAAGTCTGGCCTTTTTTGTATCAGGATCTAGGTAATTTATGATATCAAATATCATACTTTTTCCTCAATACTTGTATTAATTCACATATTTGCTATTAGATGGCTTATTAGTATCTATAATATTAAATCTTTCAATAAATGTTTTTAGGTACAGATACAATAAATCGACAGGCTGTACTGTGTCATCGAGTACTTAGAACTCTGCAACAAATTGCAAGAGGTCCAGCAACTTTAGAAAGAGAAACATGGGAAAGTCTATTATTATTTCTCATTGGTATTAATGATGCATTGTTAGCACCACCGGCGACTAGGGAAGATGCGGGAGAACAACTGTGTGAAAGAGTGCTTGGTGTATTATTAGAGGTGCATAAATATACAACAAAATAGTTATTAGACTAAAGTAATTTATGCTAAAGTAATTTTTTTTCAGGTGTGGCTAGTTTCTTGCGAACGTAATTTTCCTTCACCGCCTTTATGGCGCACATTACGAGAATCCTGTTTGCGGTGGCGTCACAGATTAGCTCTAGTAGAGCAATGGAACCGCGTATGTCTCGCTCTTACAGCTAGGTTGCTACAAATCATGTATGGACCAATGTTTCCCGAATTAAAAATAAGTATGTATCTTACATAGACTAGTTTTTTGTATCAAACTTTGATAATATCTTGGACATTATTGCATTTATATAATGTTACTACAAACAAGATTCTATTTTTTTTAAGGTGAGGAGGACACACAATTAGTACCGCCTACTATGTCAGATGAAGCAGTAGCACAAGCATGGTACAGACTACTACGTACTATTGGCGATCCCGTAGATTTATGTAGACCCGCTGTTGTCTCGCAAACACAAGCATTTCTGCAATACGCCATCGCCAGTCCTAACGTCATAGATCCGTGTCAGCATCCATGCTTGCAAAGTTTGCCACAAATATTTTTGAAGGCTATAAAAGGCATAGCAAGTCAAGTCGATGCTTTTCTCGGTAAGTCATGTAACTTGATTGAATACTAGTAAATATGAAAATTCATAATCTATTTCAAAGACACAAACTTGTAAATTATACACAATAGCAAGACGGTATCGAGTACGCATTTGTAAAATTTGTTTCCACAAAATGTGCACACACGTACATGCGTACTGTCGGCTTATTCACGTATCATAATGGTGGTGGTTGCACATTGTCGCGACTATTTTTCTAGGAGTTTCACAAGCATGCTGTTGGGAGGAATGTTGCGTGTCCAACATTACGTCGGGGAATAGCGGTATCGGCGGCGGGGGTGTTGGGTGGGATAGGTCGAGTGGCAAGGAACAACCTCAACCTTCCCCTACACCCCCGACTCAACGCAGACTTGCCAAAAGTTTCAGTGTCACTCCTTCTGCAGTCACTAAGGGTATCTCAATGCAATACTTTCTTTCGCTGATATACTTCTGATGCTATATTATTCAATATTTTTACTCGTTTATCTTCTCTGCAAAGATTTAAACAACTATTGTATAATATTAGTTTTGTATCATAGTCTTAATCTTTGTATTATAAGTTCTCTGTATTTTATATTAAGTTTTATTCTAAAACTTGATGCAATAATTAAAGTTAATATTAAAGTCTTTATATACACAAACATTCTGTGTATACAAGCACATTATGCAATATTACAGGAATTCCGAAAGCATCCTTAATTGGATTAACAACAAGCCGGGTATCTAGTACACCGCCGATGTTAATATCTAATTCCGGACCATCATCTGCTTCAAGTACTGCATGTAATATTAATTTCATAATTTCACAATATTATTGCAAAAATATTTCTCTTTATGCATATAATTGATTTGCAGCTATGACCTCACTTGGTCAGGATATCAGACCTCCTTTAGCACCAGGACGTCCCAAGTGTAACAGTATACTGCATCTTTTTGGGGAATGGTTATTCGAGGCTGCGTTTATCGGTACCGAGGGTTGGTCGCAGAACTTACCGCGTAAGTATTCAATTGTATGAAAAATTAAATTATTTTATGTAAAAAATTTTGTGGTCATATATTATATATTACATATTATAGAACCATCTGGCGCATCAAAACGTCCATCTTCGGTTCTTGTGGACGGACCGAGTTCGTTGCAGGAAACTGGGAGCGACGTACCATCGACACTCTGCATAGATCGCTATGAATCCGGTAGAGCAGAAGCATTGGGCGCTTTGTGTAGAATTTTCTGCGCCAAAAAAACGGGCGAAGAAATTTTACCTGTCTATTTGGCTAGATTTTATCAGGCCATGTATCATGGTCTCAAAGTTGACGAGGTATATGAGCTCTTTCTCATTTCTTAAATGGATTTAGAAAGAGATATATAATGTAGATATTTTTTTCAGACCCGCGAATGTGGTGAAACATTAGCGAGTATTCTATTGAATTCAGCTGACTTGTTCCGTCTCGATTTAAACGGTATACAAGTCTTGGTGCCGGCTGTATTATCCGCCCTAGAAGTGGTTCTGCCTGAGAAAGATTTGAAATTGAGATCTAACGTAGTATCGAAGCCGGATTTAAGAAGAGCTTCGATTCATTTATTGATATCGATGTTAACATTGCCCTTGCACTTTCAGGTAGATGAAAATATATAATTTATTGAATACAAATTGAAATTTATTAAGTTCAACATGACTATACATTGACATATGGAAATTCAACATGTTCGAATCTTTTATCATTACAGAATCTTGCTATTAAGGAGCTTCCGACATTTCCGAGTACAAATTCTTTCGAGAAAATTCCTGTAACATTCGTACAGTTGAAATCGAGACTTATGAATCTACTTATAAATGCTTTGCAAGTGGAGACTGACCCTCAAAATACACACATGTTGTTGGGTAAGTTAATAAAATCAAAGATCAAATTGAGATTGTTTGTGATTTATTTCTCATGTTCTCTCAATATATAATTTACAATCTTTTAATTAAAGAAGAATAAATGTTATACAAATTTTTAGGAGCTTTGTTATTGAGTGTACAAGATTCTGCAGCAGCGGAAGAAGTGGAGCAGGTCACACAACCTGACACAGTAACTAATGATTCGACATCTAATTTATTATCTTCAGGTTTGTTTTTAATTCTTGATAATTAGCTTGCATTCGGTTAAATGCACTGTTCTGAGTTATCTAGTGTTAATTCTCTTGTTTATGTCCAGATTTTATAAGTAATCATATGATCATAGGCGTTACTTTCTAGGTCATGCTCAAAAAGAGAAAAATTATTATAAATATTGTTTCATTCCTATTATTTTAGAAAATAAATATGAAATATCTTCTTTGAAGGGTATTTATGAGGAATATCAAAAATAGTGACATGATAAAAATAATTTGCAATTTAAAAAAATTTATTTTATTTTTGAAAAATGAAATGACAAAAATATAGTGCTGTGAAATAAAATTATTTCAACAACGCTTATGATCATGATGAGCTTCTTTCGAATGCTGATAAAGTAACAGTGTCTCGATATGCTGCTACTTTATTTAATACAGCGATTTATCAATAGCTTATTAAATGGGGATAAATAAGTATGTGAGGGCGCAAATATTCAAATTACATTGCTTAGAATATCACCTCTCATTGTTGTCAGCTTTACACATGCTTATATATGAAATGTTAATTTTTTATCATTATTACGAGTTGTGTTCTGTTGTGCATTTCGTCA